TGAAATGTCTCTGGGTAGGCCTGGTCAAAGCACCCTATCAGCAAATTGAACACGTGCTGTTAAACACCCCCACCCTCTGGAATGACAGTTGTTGTTGTTTAGTCATTTAGTCGTGTCCAACTCTTCGTGACCCCATGGACCAGAGCACGCCAGGCACTTCTGTCTTCCACTGCCTCCCGCAGTTTGGTCAAACTCATGCTGGTAGCTTCGACAACACTGTCCAACCATCTCGTCCTCTGTTGTCCCCTTCTCCTTGTGCCCTCCATCTTTCTCAACATCAGGGTCTTTTCCAGGGAGTCTTCTCTTCTCATGAGGTGGCCAAAGTATTGGAGCCTCAGCTTCAGGATCTGTCCTTCCAGAGAGCACTCAGGGCTGATTTCCTTAAGAATGGATAGGTTTGTTCTTCTTGCAGACCAAGGGGCTGACAGTCGCTTGTGAAAAAGCAGCTGTCTCAAGGTATTAGTAGATTTCAATTAAATCAGCCTCTATTTAGGAGAAAATGGGGCTATTTAAAATGCCTTCCGCTGCCAACTTTTATCCACTAATAGCAGTAGTTATTTTACTAGACGTTCCTCATGCTAATCTTTGCCATCCATAAAATTAAGAGATACCAGGGCTGTGAAGTATTTTATAGTCACCTCACTGAAAACCAATCACTCGAAACAGTACTTGTTGCAGAGGAGGAAATGTTTAAATATGACAAATAATAAAATGCTCTGTTTATAAAGCTCAGACTTTCTGAAGAAACAAATGGATTCCCATTGCCAGAAGTAATACATTATGTGTATTTTCACTGATTATACAAACTCATTCTTAACAACTGTGCACCGATAGATCTATTGGTTTCTATAGCAATCTATAGCAATATGAGTAACTGGGTTTAAGCCAGAGGGTGGATGCAAACATTCCAGTATAAATACCTTCCTTAAAAATATAGCTGGTTGCTATGTATTTACAGGGACTATTTCACTATAAATCCCAAAGCTTGCAAATGTACAGAAGCAAGATAAACGGAAGCAATGAAATTTACATTGGTAGAACTGTATCCATTCTTAATACACTATCACTGAACTCGAGTGCGATAAAATGACAGCTGTTGCCAACAAAGGGGAGCATAAAAAAGTCCTTCTGGTTTAGACAGGATCATCAGGCCCAGCATCCAATTTTATATGATGGTCAACCAGACGTTTCTGCAAATCCACCAGCGAGGGCATGAATGCAACTGATCCCCCTCGTCAAAGTTGTACCAGTGGAACACACACAAACATTGCTGGTGGGAGGAAGGATAAAAAATAGTCCGAGTCAGATTGCTGAAAAATAACTAATTTGTGTTATGTTTTACATTAACACTCCCCCTTTAATCATACTTTCCTTGAAGAACATCCCACTGATTTCAGTGGTGCTAACTCTCAATTAGGCATGCTTTGGAGTGCAACCTTATTCTTTAAACCTACAGTGGTAGCTCAGGTTACAGACGCTTCAGGTTACAGACTCCGCTAACCCAGAAATAGTAGCTCGGGTTAAGAACTTTGCTTCAGGATGAGAACAGAAATCGAGCGGCGGCGGCGAGGCAGCAGCAGGAGGCCCCATTAGCTAAAGTGGTACCTCAGGTTAAGAACAGTTTCAGGTTAAGAACGGACCTCCAGAACAAATTAAGTTCTTAACCCGAGGTACCGCTGTAATCAGTTTATAATTCAGTTATGATTTGTATGCCTTTCCTTTAAGTAGTAACATGAAAACAGCAATTGGGGGAGGCTGGGGAATGAGATTTCCCCACCTTATTTTTGTAATTGTAAGTCTATTGCAAAATAATATTCGGTGCTGGTTTAAGATCACTGGAGGACTATTTGTGTGGTCTCAATCTTCTTCATACTGCGAGCAACTGCTGGGCAGAGAGAAACACTCAACAAACGCAACCGGAGGAAGCTGTTGTATTATATGTGTGTGGATGAAAGGCTTGTGGAAAGGGGGGGGTACATTGTTGATAAAAACACCCCCAAGTTACCCATTTGCTATAAATGTTTTATTATCAACGAGGGCTAGGTTAGTTAAAAAAAGGAACACTTTTTAATTATTATTATTTTAAAAAAAGGAATAACCATATTTGGTACGGGGTAAACAAAATTGTATTGATGAGGCTAAATATCACCAGTACTACAAAAACAAAGGACTTGCAATCTTGTGTTTCGGGTATATATGATCTTACAAGCCTTATTCAGCTGGTGGTCATCAGTTTGGGGACTTAACCTTAAGGATTCTTCCTACATGACAGTAAAATACAGCTGGCAGCAGGGCAACTGTCACTGTGAAGAGTAAGTAACAATCGCTGGGGAGGTAGCCAAAAATAAAAGGGCAAAGCTCTGAAACATGGCCCATAATCTATTAGGAGTGGGTCGTTTTCAGATAATACCGGTGTCATTACTTTGTACCCAGGGAGCTGTCATCAGGGTAGATATTGAAAGGGCACCTCAGGCAGATTTGAATCCTTGTTCCCAACTTAATGACATCTTGCAGAAGAGAGAGAAGAGAGCAAGGAGTCAGGAAGATAATGGAAGGATGAAGGATTTTTATCTAGAAAAATGAAAGGTTATTTACTCTGGCACTATTATAAGATACTCCTCTTATATTTGTTCTGGAAATGTCAGATTCCTTTGTTTCACAACAGGCGGGTATCCATTAAGGAATTTTTTTTGGGGGGAGGGGAGGTGCTGCTGCTCCCCACCTCTGTAAACTACTCTGTTAGCCTGTTGCAATGAAGAACTTTGCAGTCTCTTAAGGACTAGCATTTTTTTTAATGGTATAAGCTTCCATGGACCAAAGTCAATTTCTTCAGATGCATGAAATAATATAACTTTCAGGAATGTTTGCATTCTAAGCAAGTTCATAACAGCCACGGAAGGCAGGCTGCTTTCTGGATCCAATTGTGGTTGATAGTTTTCTCCATGGGTGAGGCAGTAGGCCCTCAACAGATTTGCAAATGACGCAGTATTACACTGTCCTGTGAACATCCCAGAGGATAAGTTCAATTCAAGTTTATCAGAACAAACCAAAGATCTGGACAGATTGCACCAGGGTAAATCTCAACAAGAACAAGGTTAAAGCATTAAACCTAAGGGGAAATAACCCAAATGGGCAGATGAAAGTTGGGGTGGGGGAGTCTCTGAGAATGCAGATACAATTCCCAGCTCCCCCAACAGTTTCTGGAATTCTTTGGCAGAAGCCATGTACTTCAAATGTATGGTGTGGATGTGATCAGAGACAGGCTCAAACTAAAACTTTGGACTCAGTTTAGATTAGATGGCACACAGACCACTTAGACGAAGGACAGTGAAACAGAACAAGCACGCACTAGAGAAGGAAAAGGAGAAATCTTCACTTGTAGAACCCTTTTTTCATTTTTAGAAAGGATTCGGAATATTGCGGGGCTGGGAAAGAGTAAGCAGAATCTAGAGAATATCCCATTCTTGCAAAATACGGTCTTACATTGTACAGACTTTTTCAATCAGGCTGCATTAAACTATATTAGTATTTGGGTTTCTTAAGACAGCCAAAAATCCCGGGCATGGTATGCATTTTTCATTACTGTGAGAGCCAGATCAGCCTAGGGCTCCAGGGTCAGTAAATCACTCTGTTCGGTTGAGATGCTTCTCCCTTAAAGGCAAATGAAACTCCCCCTCCCTTTCCTCCTTAGACACAGAAGATATACTGGGACTTAGTTCTACCCTGCTGTAATTCCAGTGACTCTACCCCAGGGATAAATTTCACTGCCTGTGAATGTCACGAGTGTGTCTCTTATGATCCATCAAGTCCGCCGAAGTAGGAGGAATTTCCATTGGGATCAGAGTGGTGTGAGAAGCAATGTGTCGGATGCAGGCTCTCAAATATGTACTTTTTAACAAAAGGTTCGGATTTTTATGTATTCTTTGCAAACTAGTCTAGTACACGCCATGAGGTTATTATGATTGAAATTTGCAATACTCTGCTGTCATTCCTCATTCCCACCAAATTCCCGTAGCAATTTACCAAGATCATGCCACATTTGTCCCTAAGCAAATAGCTATCAGCCCCCCCTGCTATAACGGGCTGCTTTTTGTTAAATTGGTCTTCAGCAGCCCAGCTTGCATTTAACGCTGAAGCAGAACTACCAACATTTTTCAATGACATTTACTTCTTCATTCATTTTATTTGGTGCTTGTAATATCACCTCTCTGGGACTCTGCTTAGGCTGAAGCTTTCAGTAATGATTTTCATCTGCTCACTGTATTAAAAACTTAAAGTACAATACTCCCTATTTTGCTGTATGCTGCCTTTTATTATTGATTGTCTTCAGTGGTCTTTACATCCAGCTTTATGACAGGAGATTAAAGGCTGCAGATTTCTCAGCAGTGATAAAGAAGATGGGAATAGGTAGCCTTACCACTCAGTACTTCTGTTTGAATAATAAAAAAAGGGTGACTTTCAATGATTTTATTCATTACATTGATGTCTTAAATGTATTACGCTTTCTCCAAGGACCTCTGGGCATACAGTTTTCCATTGCCTTGCATGTTATCCTCATAACCCCATGAGGTAGCTTGGGTGAGAGAAATGACTGGTCCAAGGTGAGCCAGGGAGAAACAGGTCTTCCCATTCTTAGTCCAACACAATAAGGTAAAGGACTCCTGGATGGTTAAGTCCAGTCAAAGGCAGCTATGGAGTTGCGGTGCTCTTCTCGCTTTCAGACAGAGGGAGCCGGCGTTTGTCCACAGACAGCTTTCTGGGTCATGTGGCCAGCATGACTAAACTGCTTCTGGTGAAACGGGACACCGTGACGGAAACCAGAGCACACGGAAATGCCATTTACCTTCCCACTGCAGTGGAACCTAATTATCTACCTGCACTGGCATGCTTTCAAACTGCTAGATTGGCAGGAGCTGGAACAGAGCAATAGGAGCTCACCCCATCGTGGGGACTCAAACCGCCGACCTTCTGATCGGCAAGCACAAGAGATGCTCAGTGGTTTAGACCACAGCACCACGTGCACTACATCACACACACACACACACACACACACACACACACTCAAAGGAGTGTCTTTGGGAAGTAATTCCTTCCTTTTGGCCCCATCTGATTAAAAGTTTCCCATCTACCATGTAATGTAAACACTGTTTTACTCTGCTTCCACCCTTATAGGAAGGCTTGCCTCTTAGGTCCTAACGTAGCCAAGTCATGACAGGAAATCCTGTTGACTTGTTTCAATTTTATGCTACTATTGCCACTAATAATATAAAATCATTCATACTAGTGCAGCAAACTAAAGCAACAACAGGCCATTTAAATAGACAGTGAAACCAAACAGGTTAGAGTTAAAATGCACACAGTAGTAGTTCTTAAGAGCTTGGGAAATCATAAATATTTTTGCTTGACACTAAAATAATAATAATCAGGGTGGCCAAATGCAAAGGATGAGACTCTTGTGCCTTTGTTTGTTGCTTGTTTGTTAAAATAAAAGAGGGCTTTCTTCTTTTGCATCTGGCCACCATAGGGAGTTGAGGGACGCGGGTGGCGCTGTGGGTAAAACCTCAGCGCCTAGGACTTGCCGATCGCATGGTCGGCGGTTCGAATCCCCACGGCGGGGTGCGCTCCCGTCGTTCGGTCCCAGCGCCTGCCAACCTAGCAGTTCGAAAGCACCCTCGGGTGCAAGTAGATAAATAGGGACCACTTACCAGCGGGAACGTAAACGGCGTTCCGTGTGCTGCGCTGGCTCGCCAGATGCAGCTTGTCACGCTGGCCACGTGACCCGGAAGTGTCTGCGGACAGCGCTGGCTCCCAGCCTCTAGAGTGAGATGAGCGCACAACCCTAGAGTCTGTCAAGACTGGCCCGTACGGGCAGGGGTACCTTTACCTTTACCTTTACCATAGGGAGTAACTGAGTGTCCAGGTCCTCGGGGAGAGCATTCAAAAAGTCGGGAGCCACCACAGAAAAGGCTGGTTGGGGCACTGCGAGAAATGCCAATAAACAACAATTTCAGTGAACTGACAAGTTGATACTTAATGGGACTAGTTTAAATGGGGGGCTAAGACTGCAATTCTATGCAGACTTACTTGGGAGTAAGTCACATTTTGTTAGGTATAGAGTTGTACTGCTAGTTACAGCTGTAGCTTGATAGGGGTTTAATTGGCTGCACTTGAAAGGCTTAGTTTGAAAGGAAAATGGGTGGGCTATATTGGTCAGAAACAAATTACTATCACCTGTGGTTTGAACTCCCAAGCTTTCTTGCAGAGACTAAAGGCTGCAGAAGAATTTGTCTCCTTGTGGTTCCTTAGAAGATTTGTGCGTTCTCTCTGTTGTGCAAAGTAAGTAAAAATCCATTTGCTTTGTCTTTTTACATCAGACTCAATTCTGTGCTTGTGCTAATATATTTGCCTACTGGGGACGCACAGTTTACACAGGGGTGAGAAAATACTGCTGGTTAAATTAAGGGTCTTTAGTACTGCCACCCACCCCTCCCTCCAACAACTATAGTACTGATAGTATCTTTATTTATGGGTGCAAGTTCTTTGAAATGAAATTTTAAAGGAGTTGGGAAGCTAATGGAAATGATTCTAAAGATAGCCAGGTGAGGATGATCACATCTTTGGAAACCAAACTGAGCGGAATAATAACATCAAATTCCAGAATGAACAATTTCATACAAGAATTGATGGCAGGTTCTATTATTCTGCCCTTAGGCTACAGTCATCAGTTAATTTAATTAGAGGAGTACTGTGAAAATACAGTATTACACGCTGTCCTGGAATGAGTTGCCGTGGTTTATATGGTCTTTTTTGTTTGACTTCTGTCTTCTGAAGTTAAAGCTCAAAGCGAATGCTAAATTGTTTATTGTGTTGTACATGGAAGTGTGTGAATGTGATAGAATGTAACGTAACAGACTTCCGGGGTGGCGCCTCCGGAAAATGGCGGAATTCCCTTCAAGTTGAAGGGAACCCGCTGCACGGAAGCTTGGGTCCTACCGCTACGGCGCAGCGGGGACCCTTAAAACCCACAGGCGGATGAAGCCTGTGGACGTGGGACTCAGCGGGCACCGTGAGCGCTCTCTCCCCTGGTACAGGAGCCCGGTAACGGGCTCCGGAGTGGGAGGTGCGTGGTGCTGTGAGTCGACTGCTTCTTTCGTGCAGCAAAGCCGCACTGCCGTTTCCGGAGAGCGCTGCCTTTTCCTGGGACAATTTGGCATCTAAAACATCTATCCGTGAGTACCTGATCTTGGAAGAGCTGAATTACTTTTAAGACTGGTGAATAAATAAATAAATTGGACTTGAAATTGAATTTAATTGGGACTTGGAATGAGAAGGTCTAAGCAGGAAGTCAACCTTCCGTTCTTTTGTTACGTGAAGAAAGCAAAGACAAAATATACTAAAGCTTGAAAATTAAATTCTGAGAGAACTAGAATTCAACACCTAAGATTTCTGAACCCCCCCTTTGACTGCAGGAGAAGAAGGGGGTTGTTTTGGACTTTATAACCCTGCGGAAGTGAGTTTAAAACAAAGTAATTTTCCACCGCCCTGAACCAGGAGCGGGCTGTCAGAACTGACGTCTTGAAGCTTGTCCAGCTCGACAGATAGTTAAAAGAAAGGTAACATTGTGACTCTACTGTTGCCTCTTGAATTTTGAAGGGGGAACTTTGGATAAAGTGTATCTGGAAAAGAAAGACTGTTGCTGATGATTTTCTCCGTTATAAAAAAAGGAAAAAAAAGGTTTTCCCTCTAGTGGGATTTAGTGAAACTGCAACGCAGAGAGCTTAAAAGTGAAGGACTATAATCGTGGGAAAGAATTTTCTTTGACCCTGAAGGACAATGCTTGTACAAAGGCTTGAACAAATGTTCCTGGAAGGTTTTTCAAAACTAAGTGCCCAGCTGGACCAGATGCGTCAGGAGACGACCTTGATGACGGAAGTTACCAGAGCACAGCAGCAAGTAAATGGAACTCAGTTAAAATATCTACAAGTATATGAACCTGCTGTAGTGATGGAGGCTTCAGAGATGGAGGGACCTTTGGACCGGCAGGATCAGCCTTTGAACTTGATAAATGAACTTGGGATAAATCAGATTCGGAAAGATAAAATGTGGTTAGATTTGGAAATGGGGGATGGATTGACCCCCCTTTATATGGTTATCTGGACTTTCCGAGTCTGGTGATGGGCCATCAGAGGATTGGAGTAGTCGGAGCCTCCAAGTTTCAAGGAAACTTGAAGTGGTATTATCTGCTGTCTGGCTTGGACAATGGGCATGGGATGGACTTGTTGCAAAGGGTCAAAAGTATCTTTCTGCTGGAGTACCCACGACTGAAAGGGAAACATCAAGAAGAGCTGCGAAAGGGGCAAGAAAGAGATTTGAGGGCCTCGGACACGAGACAACCAGGTTAAGGAGCCGGACTATTGAGGTTAAAAGGACTGACAATCCCGGGTCCAGGGGAGGGAGCGCTGGAAGTTGACTGGATTGTGTCTGACTTATTATCTTATTTTATTTTTCTATTTTTCAATATTGGGAACGTTCATAAATGTTTGAAAGATGTTGAATGAAACTATATGGCTTAAGTAAGGATTGGTAAATGATTTGCAAAAAGGTAATGATGTAAGAATTTGGTAAATACTGAATATAAGCTTTGAGTTTTAAAGCTTTTATATGACAAGAGGGAAAGTAGAATAAGGAAATGTAATGATAGAATGTTATGAAAAAACAGAAAGGATTTGCTGTAAAAATTAAAAATTAAGAAACAAGAGAGGGGAGGAGGAGGAAGTCTAGAAAGGAAGTTAATAGAGATCGTAAATGATTTTATACTTTTGTTTTTCTTTTTTCTTTTTTTCTTTATGGTTGGTTTTTTTCTTTTTTATTTCTTTATCGTTTTTGCTTTTTGTATTTTCAATTTTTTTGGAAATTTTTGTTGTTATTCTTTGAAAACTTAATAAATATTAATTAAAAAAAAAAAAGAATGTAACGTAACAGAATGCAAAAAATATGCAGGAGTTCTGAGGCTTGGGTGTTTGTCTCAACTTGAGAATACGGTATCTGAGTGGGAGGTAGGGTTGTACATGTAAACCCGGCCCATACAGCCCCCACCCACTGGGCTTGACCCCTCTGTGTTGAATGGGGAAGATGTGCAGGGACTATTACTTGCACTTACTTGAACACAAGTAGCACTTAAGGGATCACCTACCATTATGATTACGATTAATTAAACTTACCGCCCTTCATCTGAAGATCACAGGGTGATTTACAATATTAAAACCACAAAAATGCATACCATAATAACAACCAAAAAACTATACCCCCCCAGTTTAAAAGGCCATCGACTGTTTAAATAGCCAAATGCCTGGAAGGAGAGGAATGTTTTTGCCTTGTTCCTTCAGATATGTAATGAAGTACTCCACACTGCAACATTTTGTAGCAGAGACTCTTGCTTTTTCCTAATCTCTTTGTAGGAACAGCTCATGTTGGAAGTTGCCTTCACACTGCAGATACATGCATTATGGACAAAGTATTGGATGCATCTTCTCTCTAACTGTAGTGCAGCCAGAGACAAAACTTTTCCTGACCACAGTTATCCTGCTAATTTCCCAATATGTTTCAGAGCATCGGCTATACAGTGTTTGGTACCCCCTCTGTCGCAGGATGAAAGCTCACGAAGAAAGGTGAATAACTTAATGCTAGCAATCCACAAATATACACAGTTTTGTCCTAGAGGTAAAATTTAAATCTCCCCTTGGTTGTTAAGAAAAACTAAGTACCAATCATAAATGAAAAATAAAATCCAACTCTCCAAATTCAGTCAATTTATTGGAGTAAAATTAAAAAAAACTAGAATGCACTTTATTCAGCATGTTACTTTCTTATGCGGTCACAAAGGCAGAGAAAAGGAGCAAAATAACAGACATTTCAAAACATCCCCAACATGTGCCTTTAAAAAGAAAAACCACAGAAAGGGAGTGGGGGAGAAGAAGCTGAATAGAGGGAGGATTGGTTTTGTAAAGAGAAGGAAGAGCCTTGATTCAATGTGTACTTCTCTAGAGAAAACGATACTGCCTTTGAGGGCCACATAATTTTATTTCTTTATTTGTTAAAAGCATTTATAGCACACTTGTCTGCTGAAGGTCCCATGGGAAATACACAAACAGCAAAATCAAATCAGCAAAAA